TCCTTGTAAATGAGCAGTGTCTTGTTGCTTGTTGATGGTAACATAGAGGGGATTTTGGGTGTGTGCTACACAAGGGACAGATCACCAGGGAAACGTAACAATGATTTGCTGCCTGTCTGCTGCCAAAACTTCTGTTTAGATTGTTGGAAAAGAATACAACTTAGAGCACACGTGACTTGCACTGCACTCAGTCGTGCACAGGCCAAACTACTGTGGTTAATTCCAGAATTAAATGAGGGCATGAACGTGGGTAGTATGCCATAAAGAGAGGGTAACATGCCATACTTTTCTGCACACTTTCCCACAGATTTGCACCAGACAACGTTGTGCACACCTAAGGAGACAGTCTTGTTCCTAGATGTGCTTTTATTTCAGATATATAGGGTTTTTAAGATCAGTTTTTATCCTGAATATAAGTAATATCAGGTGAAGTATCTGTGAAAATTAAAGAGGAGAGAACACCAATTAAATCAAATAGAGTGTACAAGAGTGTACACATATTAAGATTGTTCTGTTAACTGCGTTTGTGCTTTGTGTAGTTTATGTTAGTAGTTCAGAGACTGAAATAGTGTATTTTAAAGTTATTTATCTGCTTAACATATTTAAATAAAAAAGTTAAAGTATTTATAGATAATAATTGAGGGTGTGATCACCCAATTATTTACTAATTTAAACTTCAAAATAACTGCATACAGCTTTACCTCATTTTAAAATGTTTTCAACAGTAAGGTGAATTGGGTACTAACTTATGCCAGTGGCTTTCAAATATTTTAGTTTGTTGACTTCTAAAACTTTTCTGTTGAAGGACTCATATGGAGGCTTCTCACATATGCAAATTGCCTTCTGAAATGTCCTCCATAATTATTTTCCCCAGTAGCAGTCCCTAGGGCAGACCAGGGACCTCCGATGTCTGCCAAAGAGGTACTAAAAGCAACAGTTTTAAGTATCTCAAGTACATAGGTCATATTTCTAGATTTATACTTTTGGTTTTCTCCGTTCCTGTAGATCCTGCAAAATGAATAAAGACGTGACAAATAACAAACAGGAAGATGTCCACACTTTTCTTTTCACAAGTCTCTTATTCTCTGCCTGTCAGTGCAATTTTTTTATTAACAAGCGCCCTGACAATCATAGCTAGGATTTCTGATAAGGTAAATAGCATATTCTACTACTACTAGTTGAACTTCCAACAGGACATGTGGCCTGAAACTGATAGCACTGTTAACTTTGCTACCCATCCAAAAAGGAAGTCAGATTTTCAACAATAAATGAGTATGAGGCAGCATTAATGCATTGTACATTACAGAATTTTATCCCCTGAAACACTGAACTTGGACTACCTTATGGAGAAGAGCAGCAACAACCCATCTGCACGAGAGAAGGGAGTGAGGAACGTTATGCTGGTCCCTAGAACAAGTCCCTTGTTCCTATGAAATATGTCTTGTAGTGAAGTCCTTGAATTTTGAAAGCACAAGCACAGCAAACCAAATGTACAGATTTGAAGTCTTCTCTAAAACGGCATCTGGATTACTGTCATTACTGTATTACTTCAGTAGATGAACAATCAAGTAATCAGTGCTAAGAGATGAACTTGTAGTTTCAAAGAATCTCACTCTTCCCTTTTTATTTCACCACTAATCTGCCTTTTCTACCAGCCTCCCCCCAAAAAGCAGATTAATGTTGTTGCAAGCACAGGATGTAATTCCGTAGTCAGAGATCAGTTTACATTGGAAGCAGTTAAATTTTCCCTTGTGTTATCTGTTACCCAAATTGTTATTTTATCAAAATATTATACTTCTGAAATATTTATCAGCTAATAATTGAGTGCCTGATCACACATCCAGCCTCCATAACAACCCTTCAATGATGACGACAGATATAACTTCATAATTTTAGGGCTGTCAGAGATACCCAACAACCTGAGTAATCTCCTCAGGTCCTTTTGGAGTGAATGGAAGTGTTTTCCACTGATTTTAACAGAGCCAGGATTTTATTTGTGATTTTATTTTATTTATTTATTTCCACCAACAAAAACCATTAACCCAGGCAACAGTCACCCCAAGAACTGGAATTAATTTATAACATCTTTGTGAAACGAGATGGATAGTCTTGATTTTTTGATTGCTTGCTTTGAGAAATGTACAAAAGTGAAATATTTTTTAATACAGCAAGAACTGATTGAGTTATTGCATTTGGTTGCATATTAGTGCCTGGAGTATGAGCAGAGCTATCTGTGTAAGTTGTGCCCGCTGCACTCACGTGAGGTCCATGCAGTGCTACTGAACACAAGGAAACTGATGCAGCCTGAGAAGAGCCTAGAGTCATATCCTGATGGTACACCTCTGCATATTTGTCCCGCTTCCCTGAACATGCTCTACTAGCTCCTGATAGAGATACAGGATGTAAGGACCATGGCATTGCTGGCCAAGTCAGAGAGAGGCTTCTGGGCTACATGGACTGTTGGCTCCTAAGGAAATAATCACAAATCTAATTGCATTGATATAGTGGGAAATTTATGTAGAAATTCAACAAGATCAGGATAGTGCAGTCTGACTTCAGAAACCAAGGACAACCATAGATGCACATAGATGACTGAGAAGTACACACATGTGTTTACACTGAGTGAGCCCTGATTGTCATTTTTATTCACAAAAAGAAAACTGAAGAGATAGTGATGTTCTCCAAACCCAAAGCTATTAGCTGAATTCAGTCGCCTTTTTAAAATATGTATTACATATGTCTACTCTCAGATTTATTTCTAAAAAATACTTATTCTTTCAATTAGTGATATTCTCTTAGATTCATATGGTGCTCAGATCTGGAATCATTCGTCACACAGAGCAGAACCGTGCTCTGAGAGTAATCCTGCAAGAAACATGATATAATTACATCAGCCAAACACTGTAGAATTAAGAGGATGTGTTCTGAAGGAAAACAGTCATAATCTGATCCTTAGAATATTTTAATAAACGAAATATTCTTATTGTCCTATAATGCTAGATGATACTTGAACTCAGTGAAGATACTTGAATTCAGTGAATAGACAGCTAGAGCTGTGTTTCCTTCAGGAACAGTCTTGAATTAAAGCACTAGTTCAAAATAAGAATGCCCAGATTTTACTTCAGATTTTTTTCTCCCATGTGTATTAGAGATAGTATAAACCTTTTGGCCAATCTAATAATATCCACGTATGATGCTTTCACCGCACCTGTGCCTCTTCTTACAGCAAGACTCTTATCCAACATATGAGAGGGCATGAAGCCATCCTAACAGATGGGTATGAGAAAAGAAAAAGAGGAGGCTAAATCTAAAATGTACATCAAGTGTATTTTGCTGATGCTCAAAAATTTCTACTAGCAAAGCATAAATATGGACTATCTGAATATGGCATTCAGTAGCTAGGGGAAAAAAAAAAAGCTTAGGACTGAGAACCTGACAAATATTTCATTTTATCTGTGATCAGCCTTTTAGTTACGGTTTGGGAGATGATGGATTTTGCTGGCATTCATTATGATTACAGTTATTTCTAACATTTATCTCTAACATTTATCTCTAACATTTATTGAGCACACGTATTTATTTATAATTTAATTGAAGTAATTATTGAAGTAATGATGGCAGTAGGGCACTCTTTTCATTCACCTAACTCTGAATGCTAGAGTTAGGTGCCCAGGTCTCTTTGTGGACCTATGGCCATTATTTAAGCATCACTGAGGTCTTCTAATTCCTGTTCAACTGCTATAAAGATTGTAGACAGTTAAAGTCACTTACAGAGGTGTTCACATTGCTCACTCTAAGTGACTGTAGAATGGTTTTATTCAAGTAAAATGTGGAGAGCGTTCCCTGGCCTGTAACAGGCTACTAGCACTTTCCGTGACATATTTTGGTGAGGCGTCACTGGTTAAGCAGCCAGCCAGTTTTCCTAGGTGCTTTAGTTTCTGCAGGTTAATGCCCTCAGGTTGCCCTGGCTTTGTTCCCACCTACACCCTCAGGCTGTTGAACTCGGAGCAACCATCACTGATGCAGGGACACCGTAGGATTCACAGACCTTTCCTAACCCCACTTCATGTCTATGGCCTCATCGGGTAGGCTCACTACCAGACCTTTTACTAACCCACACCTCCTTCTATGCACTTCAGTTTCCATCTCTTAAATCAGGATAAGAGCTATGCCTTTCTTCATTCATGAGGTTGCTGTAAGGGTAATGCACTAAAGCATTCAGGTACTATGGTAATGGAGGCCATATTGTACCAAAAATGACATAATAATATCTACTTCAACCAGCTTATCTGCTTTTTGAATACTAGTAGGATATGACCCTGCTCCCTTTGGAACTAACAGCAGTTTTTCGCAGTGGCTATGAAAGAGACAAGACTTGGCAATAGGGAAGAAATACCTGCAGAAGAGATTGTTTTAGTGGCTTCATGGCAGATTAAGAAAAATCTTGCAGTCATTTTTGATCATACTACACATCTCTAAGTTGATCAAAACGTGCTACTGAAAATTTCACAGTGTTTAGAAAGGAAGGTTCTCCAGAAGTTGTTTGTTGTGATTCTTCTACAGTAGCAAAGTCAATTTGCCCTACTTGGCATTCCTCTCTGGTCTCCAGCACATTCACCGAGATTTGTCTTGATGATTAATGAAGTTAAAGCAATTTTTTGTCATAAAAGAGGTAAGATGTTTTCTGAACCATACAGACCCCACACAATGTCATGTTAGCTCTTTCCAAGGTGAGAGTATGAACTACAGCTTGTTTCAGGTAAACATGACAAGGCACTGTGGTCCTGACCCAGCAGAGCCATTGAGTGCGTACTGGAAGTCACTGGTTTAACATACCGCTCAGTGCAGCAAGAAATAGGATCTCATGTTCTTTTGCTTTCCTGAGTTCCTCTTTGTTTCCTGGACTCCAGTAGGCTGAGCCTCAAGGCAAGACTTGGCTTCCATCTCCCAGTCAATTCTTGACACCTTATTGCCCCTTCCAGTTTTACTGGAGCTTTGCACCTTTGGTGTGCAACTATTCTTCCTCCAAGTAGGCATGCTGATAAATCTAGCTGTAGGTAGGAGCTACTCAGGGGATATTTAAGACGTGAAAACATTCTTGTGAGTTAAGCAGATGCATGGAGGAGAGGAAAGGCTGTGAGCTGTCCAGGTGCAGACACATCACACAAATCTTCTTCCAGCATTCTCCTTTCTCCTCCGTCCTAGCTGTGTCCTCAGCTTCCTGTATGTGGAAGATCTTAAGTACAGGGGGAAACTCAGTTTGCTAGGACATTCTGGAGCAATTTTACACCGTGTAAAGCTGAGTTAATTGGGCAAACAATTAGGCTGATGATATTATGGCTATATTGTAGGTATTCTGTGCAGGTACACACACTGATGACCCGACACTGGAACAGAAGCTGTATAGTCTTGCACCTCTTCTCAGTTTTCTTTGCTTTACATCTTGTTAAGCGTACAAAGACATCTATATAGAGAAACTTTAAAGGACAAATCTGAATTCTAAATATTTGAATGTTCCAAACATTAGGGAAAAGAATAAGTTTGGTGTTTTAGATTAAGAACATTTAGAAGGATATTTCCTGGTCTATAATTGGAGGCAAAATGACAGACTTGGGGATCCAATTCTTAAAATGTGTTTTACTTAAGATAATCAGTTAGTCCCAAATCCTCAAGCATCTGTGCACCTCAAGTCTGTAATGTATTTGCACTTGCCTTGTGTGGTAGATCATCACAGTTGGTTTGGCAAAGGGAGAAAAGAACTATTACAATCTGAAGAACAGTATTCCCTTCGGACTTCATTGCTGCAAGTCATAGTAATGGAAAATCCAGCTTCTGTGTGCTTGGGTCCCAGCGCGGCCTCCGTACCTACGCCTCCCTTACAGAGCTGGTTCCCATGTGGTTTGGTTTCCACATTAAGCTATTGTCCAAGAAAAATAGGTTGTTTAAGAGCTGCTTCTCTGTGAGGTTCAGGTGCTTGCCTTCATTTCGTATTCATAATCATGAACTCTCTTCTGGAAAGAGATGCTTTCAATCGTTACTTAAAACACAAGGAGGGGCTCCTTTCTTGTAAAATGGGGCCAGAACAGACTGCAATGATAGACTTCTATATATAAATTTTTCAGTACTTAGAGCACTTGCCCAATGTAGGGGAGGTCCCAGTCGGATTTCTTCTCATATAGAGGCTTCAAGCATACCTCTGAATTTCTTTCCTTGGCCGCCAAAAGGAAAGCTATGCCAGCACAGAGATTTGAATCTGCATGTATCATTTTTAGGTTAGTTCTCTGATTACTATTAGAACACAAGAAAAGCTGCTGTCAGTTGGACCACAGATCCATGCAGCCTCCTGTCTTCCTCTGAAGCATACGTAATTCTGTCCCCTTGTGTTCTCCAGTGTCTAACCATTTTCAGCTCAGGAACTTCATGGGCTGGATACTATTTCTATGTATTTAGTAGCCCTTACTGGATTTCCCTTCCGTAAGCTTGTCTAATCTCCCTTTGGACCAGTGTAGACTTTTAGCTGACACCATTAGCTCTTCCGTAGACCTCATCAGCTTTCAAGAATTTGCTCTGCTCCACTGCTTACATGAACAACTCACCTCGTTTGCTTATTTTGAACCTGGGCTTCTACTAGATTCATTTGCTCCCCCCTCTATTTCTTCTTCTGGAAGCAACAGTGAACAATTGATTTCTAGTCACCCTCTCCAAGTACTCATAATTATATAGACCTCCATCATTTCACTCCTCATTTGTCTCTTCCAGACTGAGTAGAGCTGGGTTACTTGGCTATTTATTATGAGGAGGCCATTCCATACCATTGTTCTCCCTTTTCTAAAATATGTGTTTCTTGAGAGTGCTATTTTCAGGAATGCAAATGATTAAAGGATATTATTTTTGCTAATCCTGCTCTGGGAAAGATTTATTTCAAAACCAAAGCAAAAGCATGTTTCCTTGCCTACAGGAAACATATTTTAGGCATCGCTGCATTAGGGGTAGTGCTGGAGGATTATGTACAAGTAGAAGAGAGTGTTATGTGTGTGTAATCAATTACTATGGCTACTCTCCTGGCCTTGTTTACATGCATTCAGGTTAAAATGGAGTATTTTGTGGTTTCCTAGAGTAATTACAAATATCTAACTGGGGTGTTGCCCTAGAATGTTTATTGCTAACAATGCCATCAATCTAATGAGAAACTCTGTCCTCAAAATTTAACTCTGTTGTTCAGCTGCTGTATAAAAACAGCATATAAGAACCTGAGTAGATAGACTGACAAAATTTAGGACTGATGAATTTGAAGAATGGCAACCTGCAGTAAATTTATATAATATTGCCTTTGTTGTCTGTGCATTTCTTTTTTGTAGGTGAACTGTCTAGTTCCTTTGAAATTAATGGCAAGACTCCTGTTCCTTTCAATTAAGCTCTTGTACGGCGCAAGGCCAGCGTGAAACAATGCTCTTACTTTATCTAAGTGGCCAGCAGACCTGTGCTAAAGATGTTGTTTTCATTGAGGAACTCCCATGTGCTCTCCCATTCTGTTCTGACCACTTGTGTCCTAAAGTTCTGCTTTCAAAAACAGATATGCAAGAAGACTTTGTATTTTTCTCACTATTTTTGTTGATTCTATTATAACTGGTTGAAATGGTTCAGCTATGCAAAAATTAGAGAAAGATTTGTTTTAGGAAGGGAAATACAAGAGAAAAAAATTAACCACCTTTTATCATTCCTCTTTTTAGTTAAGACTAATTAAAAATTACCTCAAATATTTCTCTCCTCAAGAAAAAGAAAGAAAGAGGGAGAGTGGCAATCAAAACACACTTCCAGATCTGCATATGAAATAGACCAAACAAAATATGTGCACCTTTCTGAAGTGACACGGATTCTTTCATCATTTGAGGAATTGAATCTGTCATCCTTTTCTCTAAAATATTCTTCTATGCACTGCTCTTCAAAATCATGGACTTTTTTCAGTTCATCCTCAGTGATGAAAAGTTCTGTAGAAAGAACGGAAAGAACGTAAACCTGGCAAACCACTTTAACACGTAAAATTAACTCCACTCTTCTTACAGCAGAATTCATGGACTGAACTTTAAAAAGCAGGCTTCAAGTTTATGAGGCACTTTGATATGAAATCAGATGCATCTAATTACCAAATTAGTGGCTTCAATTACATACACTTCTGGAGCTGGCAACACTTTAACAGGCAAACACTGTGCAAACATGAATGCTTTCTGATTGCATCAGATCTAAACACAGCTGCTGGTCAGGACCTGGAGAGATGGTGGGGGCCAAAACCCACCTGTAACCTAATACATATATAATCACATTCAGAGGCCCTTAGGAAAGGAGTCTGAGGGTGTGGAGGGTCTGTTTGATGTTGCAGGAGCTGAGGTCTGCTGGAAGCAGCAGGGCCTGGGACAGACATGATGAGGGCTGAGGGGGCTGTCTGGCTGCACTTGCATCTCCAGTGGCATAGTCTATCTCTAGCTTCCTCCTCCTAGAGAGGTGGGCTGTGGTGCGGGCTAGCATTGGGCAGAGGTGCAGCTTCCCAGACTCCCTGCCTTTGGCATATATGGTGAGGGAACTGGAGATGCCTTCTGGTTTTGTGGCATGATGCTGGAGATGCAAGTGCAGTAGCAGGCATGCGGAGAGGGGTTCAGGCTTTGGCATGAGATAGCATTAAAAGCTGTCTGCCTCCAGATCCACACCAAGTTAGGGTAACTCCAAAAAGAACACTTGGAGAGGAGGGGGAGCTAGTTAGGCTGGGAAGAGAAAGGAGGAAGAACAAGATGGGGAAGAAGGGAGAAAGCACTGTCAAAATAATCTGATAGGTTTTCAGTCATGCTTATGGGAGTTCATTAAAGTGTTTGGAGACACTACTCCTCTGGTTTGAATAAAAGAGGGAACGTGTCTACAAAATAATTACTCTACACCATCTCTCAGTTTTTCTACATGTCTAGGAAAAAAGTATGTTGAGAGAAAGTACGTGCTGTTTGCTTTAAAAATAGGAATACTTCCTCTGCAATTTCAGCCATAAGATTGAAGACCTGGAAGCGTGATGGACAGTAAAACAAAACCCTTTGCTTTGAAAGAAAAAAAAGACAAATAAAAAAGCCCAAGAACAGCAGAGCCTCATTAATAGTCTCAAGAGAACTAAAAGTTGAGGAATATAGGTGAAACTAACTGGTTCAGGTGGTAAGAATTCTGTAGTTAAAAGTAGTTCTCTACTGAAAAAGCTTACTTAAGTGCTGGACTCAGCCTCCATTCACACCAAACACTAGATATGAGCATGGGCATTAGAAAGTTCCCCTCTGTAAATTGTTGAAGGCTTACTTAATCCGTAGTCTCTCTCATCTGGGTCACTTTCATGTTTCCGCCATCTACAGCAGAGGTGTTGGAATATCATAGTCATATGGCTGAAAATGATTAGAGGTGGTGGGAGAACTGGTCTTTCATGAAATGTCATGATTAGTTGATACCTTTGAAACTTCCATACTTGGTTAGATATGGATTTGACTTCAAAAAATGTATTGCTAGAAAGAGAGAAGAGGAAAACCAAATGAGTTTGAAATGTTTTTTGGGTACTTTTCCAGAGATGGTAAGACAGCACTTCTAATCTTAACTGGACACACATTAGTATTATTCCTTATCACAAGGAAGGAAAAAGAACACAGGAAATGGACATCATAAGTTACTCTCCCTTCAGTGAAACTCGGTGGCTCCATCAGCCATTTCAAAAGTGTCGTTGTCCTAAAGAAGGGTTCTTTCACCCAGTGTGCAACAAGCTGAGAAACACACAGAGTCAAGATATTTGTTCAATTCATTTCTGCGCAGAGATGGGTGCTAGGTGGTAATTCCACAAAGCTTGCACACCTAATTACTACACAGCTTACACTTCATACAGTTTAAGCAGCTATCAGTAGAGTTTACAACTACATCAAGTCATCCTTGTTCCCATCGGTTCCTGCTAGGTCTCATCTTCATTTAAAGTCATAGTATCCTCTTTTTGTACTACATGGGGGAGGGGCTTTGATCAGCAGAGGGCTTCCCTGCCTGTGGGTGAGTTTTTTATTATGCTAATTAGGATAGTTCACCCGTAGTTCAAGTAGTTCTCTCTTGTTTATCAACTGTTTTTGTTCTTTTCGAGCTTATTTGGGTACTTCCTTATCTGGTTGTCTTATAGTGTTGTCTTGCTCCTTCCTTCAGGGCCTTGTTTTGTTAACTACCCGTGAAAGACTGAGTGATGCTCTAATCTCCTTTTTTTCCCACACCTCAAACAGTATGTTACTACTAATTATTCCTGCTCTGTACAGCTGTTGAGCATTACAACAACCCCCAATGACACAATGAATTATTTTTATTCTCATTTTCTGTATCGGGAGTGAATGATGCTATAACTGAACTTTGAATACTTGGTTTCTCTGCTCACACTTACATTTGGTGTCCACTCCTCAGACATGAGACAACTTAAAGAAGTGAGTACTTTCCTCATACCCTGGAGATGCTGTCTTTCACCTTCTCACCCTCCTGTGTCTCTCAGGCAAAGTCTTTGGCTTAGCTGCCTTATTAGACTATGAATAACCCCCCTAAATCCATACTTAGCAAGGTGCAACTCACTTGAAAACAGCAATGAGGAGGTTCACCAGAAGGATATTTGCAACCAAGAGGTAACAGGCCATGATGGCAGGAACGATCCATGCTCCTGTCTTGCAAGGAGGCAGTTGGATTATTTTGCCATCTTCTCTGGTTTCATTTTGACCACAAGGAGCTAGGAACAAAATGCAAACAAGCAAAACAGGAATGAATCTTATTTTTTCAGTACTTTTTGCAGAAGTGTTTAAAACTTTATGAAGGCCCCTCCTGCCAAAACAACATCTCTCAAATAAGAGTGGCATTGACGCTCCCCCAAAGAAGTTTACACTCACTATAGATGGTGTTGATCAAGTGCTTTTCAGATTTATCACAGAATTTAAGAGCTGCTGTTCATGATGTTGAATGCTGTTTGCTATTAATCACAAGACATCCCTCTCAGAAATTTCGGGAGGCCTGTCTGGTGTGAGTGAGCTGGCTGTCTCGTACTGCTAAAATACCATAGTATTCTGGTAGCGCAAATACTGATGAAAATGCTTACTTCTGTGAAAAGCTAACATATTATTTTTTTACTGGCAAAAGTTTGGTGTTTGTTGATGGATAGAGCGGGATGTTATAAATAGCATAAACGTAAAGTAAGTGCATGAAACTAAAATACGGAATAGAAATTTTATTTCTGTGTGCTGCACTGCCTGGAGCCCCTGTGGAAGGTGTTCATAATGACCCTCTGCTATTGAGGATTTTTGACTGCATGCCTAGAAACAATGGGGGAGATTATCAAGTCTTTACTGTACCAGGTAAAGGGAAAGGTAGGCAGCGGGGCCGCCACCTGTTTCTTCCCTGAATGTTTTAGAACTGAAACAGCCTTTGTATTAATATTGTAGAACTGAGGCAAGCAGGGAAAAAACATTGCAAAATAGTTTTTGTTACTTCTTTCTACTACTTTGGCAGAAAATCTGCATTTCCAAGTCTGGGTTCAGCTTATGCCCTTCTAGTCTCAGGCTGCCCTAGTGAGATTGGTCCTAAATCTCCCATAAGCTCTTCAAGAAAATCACTGAAGCAGCAGCTTACAGATACTCTATCACAGTAAATTTTGCTCAGCACTGCAGCTAGCTTCTTCCCCTTGTCCCCATAAGGAGAAAGAAGATTCAAATGAGGAATTTCCATGTGCTTTGCATTGGCTCAGATCTGCAATCCAGCAGATATCAATGAGCGTTTCCCACTGACTTCAAGGAGAGCATAGTTTGCTAATGCCGCATGTTTCGTAAAATCCCACCCTGTGGGATTCCCTGTGGGAATCCCTGTGTCAACAAATCCATGATCTACGTTACCGAGTATTATTTCTTATCAAAATGTTCATTCTAACCTCAGTTCACAGAGCACAGGATTCAACCATGGGTGACTGTATTGTGAATTGCATGATATTAGGTGTCACTTGGGCATTTGTTTTTGAGGACTACGTGAAGATGTTAGGCTTTTGCATGTAGACATAATATAGCTTTATGGGACAAAAGACTATGCACTACATCAGCTTTCAGACATGAATTTTCCAAAAGTGTTCAATGCACAGAAAAAATAAATGACAAAGTCAAACATAAGCAATGCTACTTTTAGCAGCAACTCTGCTGAGCCTGGACCAGAAATCTGCATTGATATTAGTCTTTTCCACTTATAAAAATACATTTTATCACTGGAACAGGTTCAGAGCAAGCAATTCTTTATTTCTCAGAAAACTCTGCCCTTGCAGATCTTTTCAATTAGTACTGATTTTGTGCTTCCTGCACTGCTCTGGTGCAGTTTCATTTAGGCATTCAAAGTGCCACTTGTGAGCTGCTGGATTTCTTGTGCTAACCTTCATCCAACAGAAACAGGGATACTGGACACCTCTTGGCATCAGCCTCAAAATGGGACTTTATGTTTCTGTTTGTGTGGAAACACTAGCTTACATGCTGATTCAGAGTTACAGAGTCCAACAGAAGACGCTACCTAAGCACATCATGTTTTCACCAGTAATGGAACAATCACTCTGTGAGCTGATGACACCTGTTGCCCTTTTATGTGCTGAAGCACACAACAAATAGTGTCTTTTGTACTAATGAGAGAAATTTCTGAAAAAACATATTTTAAACCATAGATCAGGGATATCAAAAGTTTAGTCCGAAGTCTGGCTTTTTAAAATCCTATTATCCCATTTTTTCTACTAAGAGAATTTCATTTAAAAAACCCTCCAGCTGAGAAAGCCACCTAGGCAAAGAGGATTTTTCCAACTTTCTTTTGGCCACCACACAGGATTCAGAGTATTATTAATGCGTCCTTGTTAGTGTATGCCACACAGTAATGGCCAAATTAGACGTCCTATGAAGGCAAGCTCCCATAGTGTTCTGCTCTGTTCATACACAGGTGTTGGCTTTTCCTGGATATTTACCAAAACTTTTAGCTTTTGTCAGTTCTGTTGGGGGAATAATTTTGAATCACAACGGAATATTACTTATGTGCCTCACTTTATAGGGATCTAAAGCACGACTCAATCTTCAGATCTGCTGCTGCATGAGAAAAAGTGTGATGTGTGATGAAAATGCAGACACTTGTGTTCCACTGATCATCACACCAAAATTAACATTTCACTCCAGTTTTAGACAATAAAATTAGCTTTTAAAGGATGTTTTTCCACAGTTAAATAAATATTTGTTCAAAAAGTAATTAGACCCAGAAAACCAGAAACTGAAATTCCTCCCTTTATTAAAAAGTCTGACTGCTGGCTAATAGTAGCAATGATATTATTTCAGGTGACAAAAATACTTGCTTATGTTTAAGAAACTAGAGTTTTGTTTGGCTACTTTAAATGTATTTTGAGAAATACACTCATTTTTGTAGTAAATACACTAATTTCATGACGACAAACTTTTTCAAAGCACAATTTTAATATGTATGAAAATGTATTCTTATATCTTTTCATGCTATGGCCTTGTTTTAGCAAAGTTATGTAGACTATTTAATTCTAGTGAAGTGTTTTGCTGGAGCAAATTCTGTTAGTGTAACTACATCTGACCAAAAAAACCCAGGTAGTCTGATACCTACAGACCGTTGGATGAAGGTGTCCTGACCTCAGAAGTGCTTTAAAAGATATTAATTGCCTGGAGTTTTAATTTCAGTTATATGTGTTAACTTCACTCAGCTTTCAGACACTGCATCCTGACATCTGTAGACGTACGTATTTTTTGCATCTTTTGTTTCCTTTTTCATAATCCCCTCCTATGCTAGTTTTCCCTTCCTGGCTCGCCTTTACGGTTTCCTGCATGGGCCTTTCCTGCTGCATACCTAACCCTTCCTCTTTCCTGGCCAGCTAATCGTTGGAGACCAAACAGCAGCAACCCGTGTCTCTGTTTTGGGACGAAGGCATCGGTGGAGCTCAGGCCTCGGGCTGTGTTTACAGGCAGAGTATATTCCCCTGGTGCAATTACAGGCATGACATGGGCACTGCTCATTTTTATGTGCATTGGGTGGAGGGGTTGGGAAACAACATTTGCAAATTATTGTGGTATGACTCTTCCCCCAGCTACACCCTTCCAAAGGAGTTATGGAAAATAACACAGAGAGGAAAGCGCATAATTTAACAGCTCTGTTACCAAATAGCCTTTTGTCTTTGATGAAAAAATCTCATTTAAAAATGAATATGACTTTTATAACATGGGTTTAATTGTTTGGAAGCACAAGAAACTGCTGAACATGTACATATGATCACAATTCACAAAGCTAAGGAAACCAATACGTGAGCATCAAGTAACAAACAAACCCATCCTTTTTATTCAAGTCTGGACATCTGAAATGTGCTTTTGTTACCCTGCTTATGAATAGATGGGTGCCTTCCAATTTTGATCACCATTGAACTGAAAAGATGGGAAAGCATTTGATAATTATTTAATGAAATGTCTAAACAACCTTGTGTTAATTGTTTGCCAGGCCGGTAAATATGCAAAATAGGCTAAATGAGCTGCCTAGGGGTGTTCCCTTCTTCACTGACAGACAAAGCAGTGAACTCTGAGAAGCCCCGAGTCTCACACCATTGCTCTACTCACCAGAGACACATCCAGGAAATTGAACAGGGTCTCATTGCTTCAAGTAAGTTGCTTTAGCTATAGTATTGTGACCTTACGCATTGCTTCTTGCCCTCAGCCACATTAAAAGCATCCTTCAAATACCTTTCCTATCACTGGTTCTTTGATCACATTTCACACAAATCTATGAAATCTTCTTGTTCTCCCTAAAGCTTACTGCCTTCTCCTCCCCTTATTAAAACTATGATGCCAAATGCAACCCAAAATGTGAGATGAGAGGAGGGCTAGGAAGGTAAAGACTCCTTCTTTGACACAGGCCAAAGACACTCTCAAAATGGTGTGTAGGCTATGCACAAATGTTTTCCCTTGCTTTTGTCTAACTGTGCTAAAAATATTGTCTGTGCTGCAGAGCTGGAAAAAAAAACCACACAGAAGAGCACAGGTATGATTTATTTGGTTTCGTGCAGGGCTGCTCTGTTAGCTCTAATTCCAGAACGATCCATGCAGATGACATCCCTTATAGAAAAGTCCTATAGAGCCATAAAAAGAACAAAATCTCAAAACAGTATAGAATTTAGTACAAAATTTTCACTTGCACTAAGAAGCCTTAAAAACTTATAATTTAAAAAAATTCTAAGAAATCAAGAAACTTAAAAGTTTAAATAAATACATCCTTTATATTAAAATTATACTTTCCTCTTAAATTCATTAGACAGTTAAAACTTGTGCATACTGATTTATGTCTCCTCTTAAATGGGAACAAATGCATTCTGGTTAATGGGCGCTGCTGCAATGTAAGTGAAAGACAAGGAGGGCCTCATACTTTTCTCTTAAACTATATAGGACTTTCCAACAAGGGAGTAGGCACAGGGAACAAACACAACACAGACTGATCCTCAGATTCCAGATGGCATTTGAAATACTGTCAGCTGGAAAGAAAATCCAGATGCAAATCTGACATGTGAGACACCAGGCAAATCTGAAAAACAACCCAAACCATAAAAACAAGCCCATGTTGGCTAACAGCACTCTCAGTTGCTTCACATGCTAAATACAGGGAAATGTGAAGTCTAATGCTGCTTTTCTAAAGGTGACTGCCATTTCTCAAGATGCCATTTACGTCATCTGTCTGCACATTTTACCCAGCAAACTCACTCCCTGGAGTAATCCTTCCCTCTTCAGTATTTCTGATATACCTCTATATCCATACTATTCTGGAGAGGTAGATAGCTTGGTAAGGCAAAAAGAAAATAGTTTTTTTTTGTGTTACAACCTCATTCTTTATTTCTTTGACTAAAGTTGTCAGCGATATTGCCAAAGTAAGTGAGGCAAACTGAAGGAGAAATGTTATGATAGTGAACACCTGTCCAGTAGGAAATTCACAGAAGCAACTTAACTGGCTGGCTGTTGCCCCATGGATCCCATCAGTCAGCATAAGGCTGAGCTGGATTAGAAAAGGCAACCCCAAAGTGAGACAGTTCCACATACCATCAGGAGTTCCCCGACTCGGATCCCCTCTTCCTCCTCCAGATAACAAGGCTGTGATGAACTGTCAGTCTGTGAGGAGCTATCTTTCAGTTTCAATTTTGGAACAGGTTTTGGTTTTTTTGAGTGGGATTTGCCTGAAAAGTTCAACATAGTTCTAAAAGATTTGCTCTGCTTGTTTTCCTTTACAATTGATTGGTAGTTAGGAATTTGTAGGAATATAGTGTTTATGTACAGCACTGATAATAAAACACACCACTGAATAATGTATTCAGACTCCCAGAAGTGAGGATATAATTCTGTCCCCACTTTTGAGTTGCAAGTGAGATCACATGCCGACAGTACATTAATGCACAATCCGGTTAGTTTATGAATTTTTAATATGGGATGAATACAGGCATGATGGGTAAAAAGTATAAGTGTGTAAGACATGCATTATTTTAGAGCAAGACATTTTGCTAGCGTTTCAACAGTGCAGTGTGTTGAGATAAAAATCAGAGTAGACCCACTGGATGGACAGACTGCCAGCTGATGAGATGGATCCAGACATTGTATCTGGTCAACCTTAATGGCATGCTTCACAAATCAACAGAAAGTGAAAGAAAAGAAAAGAAAAATAAGTCAGAAATTTTAGAGTTACATACTCTATTTGTACATTTCTCAAACACGCTAGGATAATCTCCGGGAGAATAGCTCAAAGGTATATGCATTTCCAAGATCAGCACTTTTGCTGGATCCCAAACTTGCAAATAACATAGAAATATGAAATGCCAGTACTCTAAAGAAAACCACAAAGAAGCCCTTCTGGTTTGCTAGACAAACAAGCAAACAAACAAACAAACAAACAAAACCCCTCTCCAAGCTATGAAGTTCAGTTGCAGTTTAGGCTTAGCATGACTTTTAGTACGTGTTCATCATATCTGAGAAAGTACAAACACTCTGTAGCACTCTGAGAAGAATACGGTGGCTGATTTAGCTTAGACCAACTTGAAAAATATATGGCAGTAAATTTCCAAAGAGTGCAAAAATGTCAGTATCTTAGCAAAACCTTCTGGGTGCCAATCAGGTCATTTTGATCGTATAGCAACATCTCCAACCATTTGCTCATGCTCCCAGTGTATTCTAGAGCTAACATTTTTGAGACAACTGAGTCTCAGACAGACATAACATATTGCATGTAATTGGTGCTGAAAGAGTGGCAGATTCTAATTCTCTGCATCATCTGTCTCTCAGAAAGGAAGAACTAGGTGTTGCTTTTCATTTTGGCACTACTACTTTTGTGGCAACTCCTGGTTTCCTTGACTCAGACAGAAGAACAACATGTCCGCACTTATAGCTAGCGTTGAAACTGTCAGGAATTTTGCTTTCCCTAGGCCTCAGAGAAATTACCCTGCATCTTTTTGCAAGGCTTAAATGTTGGGCATCTGAATAACACAAGATTACCTTTAAATCCTTATGTAAGGGTGTGGAGCCTGTCACCCTCTTGTACTTAAAAAGCCATGCTCCATTCAAAAACGCTTTTATTTCTAAAGTTTCAGGGTTCTAAACTACAGTCAGCACTCGATTAAAATAAATATACCAAGAACTTCTTCAGCCAATTGCCACATTTGTTGCTCCGTGCTAGTTACGTAGTACATCATCAATAAATGGCCACTTATAGAGGGACAGACAGAATTCTACTTGTGGAAGGAAGTTACACTTTAAAGGGATGAAACTTTATCCTTCTGTCATGCCTTTGGAACAAGATGAATTTTCAACCCCCCTGCCAACTATTATGCCTTTGGAATGAAATGCATTTTTTAAAATAAAAGAAAAGGAAAATGAACAAACAAATGAATATGGGATTAGGTGAAAAGCTAGACTCAAGGAGAAGCTTTATGCTTTTAGGTAATTGCTTACTTCCTTGCATGCCATGCTGCCTCTGAGAAGAAAGTGGAGAGGTAATCACAAAAAAGAGATTTTATTTGCATCCGCAGTACTGATTCTATGCACACCAGGAAGAGGGAAAAATACAAATGCACTGCTGAGATATCTATCATATGATATATATTCATCTCTCCATATGAAACTCCTTCTGTGTGTGTGTGTGTGTGTGTGTGTGTGTGTATTCGTGGTGATACAGATACAGTTATTATCTGCTGGACCTAAACAGTCTCAACTAATCCTTATTTTCTTCCATTCAAAATTTTTCAGTGCTGAACAAGCAGAAGATAAATTATGAAAAACTGTCCTCTCCTAGGGCAGTACATGGGATAAAAAGGAATAGCTTAAGTTTAGGTTTAATAGATTCTACCTACCACAGGAAGAGCTACTCACTTGTAAATGCTGCCAAGACCATTGCACATGTAGGTAGAAATTATGATCAATTTTATGTCAGGGTTTGTTAAAGGCTATTTGTGATTCTTAGTTTGTTTCATTCATCGTACCGCATCATTTTGCATGACCACCTATCTTCTTTGGCATAATGCACCAGGTGGCACCAGGGGGTTTAACTTAAATAGAAAAGTGGCATTTTTCTGATCACCAGCCAAATAAATCCTGAGGAGACAGTATATGAAATACTGGCTTTCGTTCTGCTTGCACTGACGTGAGCACGCTCTTGCCTTCCAATAAATAAAAAAAGAAAAATTCTAATAATGGACAGAATGTCCCCAAAGAATTGCATCACATGGTTTAGCAAAGGGTGGTGGCAGTGAGCAAGTTACAGAGAAAAGAAAACACAATGGATTAGATCCTCATGAAGTGGAGGAGCTGAAGGTCTAACCCAATTATTATTAGATCCAATACTTAGTATGAAGTTGGGTCAAAAGCATTTAAGTCTAAAATCAAACCAAAGGATGAAAGAAAAAGAAGAGACTTTTTATGTCCCAGAAAAACCAAAGAACTCATCATGGATACCTGGGAGGGTATCTCCTTCACCCAACTGGTAAAAAGAACCATTTAGAAAGTTATTTGTATGCAAGGTAAATTTAGTGTTACAGATTTCTGGATAAATAATTGGAAAGTGATGTCGGAAACATGTCCTAAAACTGGTACCCCAATATTAGCAATATAAATATTTCTGTGACCATTCTCTGTGATGGAGGAGTCCCCTATCCTGAGCCATTTATTGAGAACACACAAGATGTAGTAAGACATCATCCGATCAGAGTTGGATACCTGACTTTGGAGTATGAGAATCATAAACTTGCTTACGGTCTATCTGGTCTGCAAACACTTCCCCATAGATCATCCAATAAGGCATGTAAAAAATGTTTTTCGCCAGCTTCCACGAAGGCTCCTCATTAGGGAAGAGAATAGCCTGTCTCGCAACGCCAAAGCTCATCAGAACCACCAACATGATTATGACAAAATACATCATGTCTATCATCTGAAAGTCATGAGAGGAAAAGAGAGGGAGAGAAAGAGATAGAAGAGATAAGAATTAGAGAAATTTATTTTTCCATATTTCTATCATTCTATACTGCAAAAAGTTTGTAAACCTTAGAGTTTTCAAAAACAACTTCTGCAAATACACTCTCAATTTTACACATAACACATTTCATTTTCAAGGAAGGGAAGTGGTATTATTGTGTCCTTCATTTTCCCCAGTCTCGCTTTTAAGAACAATTTCCATGCCATGAATAGGCTTGAAAATACAGACTACCATCTGGTCACATCAGTTGCCTGAACAGCAGTATAGGTTCACTGGCATCAACAGTCCAGTCTGGGCAAAGGTCACAAGATGATGTATTGTTTTTTGGCACCTATTGGCAACTGTACCAGAACAAAAGAGCTGACATGGAGCATTTTATTCACTAGCACTCATTGTCTTGAAGCAAAGGAAGGAAGCTGCATCTAACATAAGGAATAACGGGTGGCAGAACAGTCTGTTATTGCAACATAAGGGACACCACAGTGGTAACCAGTGAGAAAGAAAAGCTGTGATACTGGCTGGACTAGTGGGGGAGTTTGACAAAGGCCACATTTAAAAAAAATAAAATGCAGATAACGTAGGCACTCAGCCCTATTTTTCTCCATTGTTGAACGGCTCATTAGCATATGCACAACTTTAATTAGTGCCTGCAAACGATGTCTACCCCTTCCAAATGTTCCTGCAAAAATGGGACATCAGTCCTAGGAGGTACTGAAGAGGGGCTGAAGATAAGAACAGGAGCTGTGCAAGCAGTATGAGTGAGACCCTCAAAAGAGCAGAGCAAAGGAGAAATCTTGGATGTCAAATGTATCGAGCATAGATACGCATAGATACCCAAAATGATTGTAAAAGAAATGATAGTCCTGTAAGGTCTCTTGTAAGATCCCTTTAAACACCTGAGTTATTATGGCCTTCAGTTACACTTTTGCTCAGCTAGAGAAGTAACTTATGTCTCTGGCCAATGCTCAACCCAAGAGCACCTCTAAAATTTTTTGAACTTTAATCTTTACAGATTTCTTTTCTCTTCTTTTTCTGGCTCAATTGTATTCAGTGCAAGGTGTGGGCTGGGCAGGTGTACAACCAACGTGCCCCCGAAGTGATGGCTGTATAGCTCTGGGGGCTGCGTGCTGCAGCTTAGGAGCAGGGCTGCCCATGACAAGAGCTGACAGAAGAGGCGACCCCTGCGTAGCAGGTGGATCTGAGACATGAGGTCAAAATAACACTGGGAAACTATTTGCTGGAGAAAAGGGAGGGGCACAGAGGAGCAAACAGAAAAGGATGTTCTTACACTTACTGAGAGAGAGGCTGTAAGAGAAAGAGACCTGTGGGGCAGGGCCCTAGTGGGAGAGTCTTGAGGAGCTGGAGGGAAGGAACTGGGGGTAGGTGAAAAAAGGCAGGGGAAAATCAAAATCTTGAGGTACATCAAAAATGTAGGAAAGAAAGAAAGAAACAAAAAACCTGGAGAGATGGGAGAGGAAAATAAATATCATAAAGCATTAAAAAATGGACAAGTAAATCATGAACATTTCTATGTTACGCAGAGTATTAATCTCTTGAGAAAACCTGGCTGAAGAGGAAATCCAAATCATTATGTCTCAGAGAGCATCCTGAAATGGGGAATCTGCATAATTACACTCTAGTTCTTACTGCTTTTAGAGAAAAAACTTATAGATGAAACCCATATCCTCTTTCCTCCCCTGATGAAACTGCTTTTGAATAGAAATATATAATATGATATAATGCAATATAATATAAAAACATTTCATGCAAGCAAATAAATATAAAGAGCATTTTACGGTAATTAAATGTTATGGTAATTTCTTAAAAGCTTCCAGCTTTTTTAATTAAGAGTCACACAGGTTTGAACCCATGTTAGAAGAAATTAAAATTTCAGTGTTGTCCTCTATTCAAGCAGTATGTCAGCTTTTCACTCTTTCAGTTGGCTGTCTTTCTAAAACATCAGTAGCTTGGCTGAAAATTGGTGAAAGAGATGGGTGCCTTTCCACTGACTCTAATGGGCAGTATATCAGGTCCTTTGGTCTTCAGGGCCAAACTAAAATCACTATTTTAACAAGGTTATGACCATTTCAGTCATTCCAAAGAACTCTTCAATTACCGGTGTAAAAAAGTGATAAAGCAGGGATGTCTTAGTGTAGTTTTATAGACTAGCTGGCTCCATTGCTCATTTCGAATTGCAGGGAAACTAAGAAAAATTAGACTTTCCTGTGTAGGAGGGGAGCTGATACACTTCTGACCCTCTTAGGTTGCCACTGGGATTTCATTCCGTCCCCAAATGGAAAGGGTGTAATTCTACCCTTGTGCAGAGATCAGAAAGCACATTATGATAAGCACAGTGTGGTACTGAAATTAGCTGATAATAGTAAACTCAGCCATTCATCTTCTTATTTCTCATCTCTTCACCTTTACTTTAGACCATTGCCTTTAAACCTCACAAGCCCATTCCTGTCCCTCCTTTAATTTCACAGGAATATTTGCTCACAGGGCCCAGAGGTAACACTTACTATCACAGCAATTTTGTTGGATGCAACATTGATGCAGATGAAGCAAGAGAGCTTTTAGACATTTTTAGACTGGAGAGATTTGTCTTTTGCCTCCAGAGTCTAAAACTTGCTCCTAGTAAAAGCTCTGTATAAAAGTTTAGGCTACAAAGTGCATTAAAGATGGAGGTTTTGGACTGCCTGTTGAAGAACCCAGTAGCTATAACGGGCTTACTCTGCAGAAATACGTGTAATCAGCTCGATCCACTCCACTGTGCTGTATGGTACTTACAAGAGCACAGATCAAAAAGACAGATCCCAAGGAGCTGAAGGAGGATGTAATTTAAACAAAAATACACAGGGGAGCCCATTGCAGCCTGCAGCAAGCAGGTGCAACTCCCAGGGAAGCCTCTGCATGACCATGCGCCGATATAAATGGGGTGGCCATTACACATGGAGATAAGCTGGCCAGAAAACAGGTGCAAGAGGCAAATTTATGTAACTCGCACCCGCTGGGCATTCCATGTGTGGGCAAAATGGATGTGTCAGAGTTGCTGAGTGCATGGAAAGTTGGATGAGGTATGAAAATCAAATAACAGGAAGGCATAAAATAAAACAACTTCCCTCCTTTAGCAGATGCCCACACCTTCAGAGTACTCTGGTAGCTAAATTCAACCCCCTCTGAGTGGGTGCCAAGCCCACAGAGGCTAGTGATTTTCCTGCATTTGTTTTCCAAAGAATACAGAAGTGGAGTGAGGCTTAATTCATTGTACACATGTGAGGATGCCAAAGTGATGGAAATTATATTATTTGTTGCTTTCAGTCATTTCCTTTCTGTGTTGACCCCAGGAGAAAAATATACGACAGTTTGTACTACTGGTAAAGCTGGGTTCCTGTCAGTCCTCTGTAACACTAACAACTAGAACTTTGTTTATTCATGGCCAATTTGTATATTATTGGTTTTCATTATTTCATTATTCATTATTTGTATATTACTGGTTTTCAGACTGCCTTTGCTGGCATCACAGCTTTTTGTCCATGGCACCTGGGAAAAACACAGCAGAATATGAAGGTAGTTGTTTTTTAAAGAAGTTTTATAGACTATGGATTGCATAAGCCCTAAAGGCAACCCAGATCCCCTGCTGGAGGAACATGGCATAGGTGGGACAAGCAAGGAACAGATGATAACGCAGTGGTTTCTCTTTGGTCTTTGGTCCTTCCCTTTGTCCTCTTGTCCTTCTCCAGTAACCTACAGTGAGAACTGCTGAGTGTTTTCTCTGCTGCGCTCCAGGGCTCTGCAAAAATCCCTCTCCTCAACATCTTGTTGGCTTCCTTTAAAGAAGGCATCAAAATCCTTTTTGCAGGAAGTAAACATTTAACAGTCCTTTTATTTTGTGATTTCCTTCTATCTCTTTCTGGTTTTGGGCAAACTATTCTTTTGTGTCATTCTCACCTATGAGCTGGGAGTTGACACCTTGCATACTGAAGAGAGAAGACATAGTTTCTTTGATCACACTGGTGGATAGGGGGCCTAACTGGACATATATTTTGCATTTCAGTTCCAGAGATTTGACATTACCTGCTTAGAGTCACTGGGCTTGTTGTGATTATTGTCATATCAGGGAGGGATCCTAGTCCCTGCATTCATGTACCTTCTCTTTTCCTATAACTATGAGGAAGAGGAGTGGCTGGGTTTTTACTTTACGGACCATGGCAAGCTCAAGCACAGTGTAGAAGCTATTTGGAATTACTGATTATTGTCCACATGCAGATCAGACAGCGGTAATATATGTATTTGGAAAGTTTAGTATTTTGTTTCCTTGTTTTTACTGAATGCCAGCCTCAAAGGTAATTTCATCTTGATTTTTAAAAATAAATCTTAAAGCTCAGAATGCATGAAGTAGCCATGATTTACACAGCAAAGGCTGGATAGCTATATATGTAAACATGAGCATGTAAATTAGGCACATGTGAAGGTAAGAGACTAGCTGGTACTCAAATACCAGGGACACATGCATGCACCTCTGTAAACTCAGCCATTTTATTTAGCTCCTACAAGCAAAGTGGTGACTCAATGCAACAGTTCTCCTGAACTGTAAAGAGAAAAGGCTAAGACACTCAAAATTGTATATCTGGCCGCAAATACATCTCCGTCCTTTTCTATGCATTTACTTCCATGTAAACTACTTATATCCCTGCCATATTATGTACACATAGTGTGACTGAGGGACAGAGGCTGCACATATGCAAATAGGTTTCCAGCCTCACAAGGACACAATTGGACAAAGGCATTGAAAGAACATGTGGCCATCAGGCAAAATACAGAAAGGTCACAGTTTTAATCATGACTGTTGCAGTTTTGAACGTACCATCCCTATTATAGCACACTTTCTTTGATGGTCTCAAGGTACTGAACGCTTTTTGTTACCTAAACAAACCTCCCTCTTTGCAACTAGTTAAGAATTATCACCCTCTATGTTTACTGCAAATGAGGCAGAGAGGTGTAGGAGGGTTTTGCTGTTAGAGAGAGATCTCAGAGAAAGACGAGCAGGGTAATAGGAGAGGGATATTCTAATCCCCAACCCTGGGGACTACGCAGAGGATTTGGTTCAGTAAGGCTCTGATTTGTAGGTTACATGAAAATGCTAATCTGTAAAAAAATATAAATAAATCTGCAATTGTTTCACTGGCCAAACCGAAGATATGGAGTCAAGAACATGCTGACAAAACATAGAAGGAATGCACCAGCTTCTCTTACCATTTTCCCAATCATCATAACATATGGTCCCAAATACTTGTTTACTCCGAAGATGTCTAACAACCGTATATACCAGTAAATGATGTTTACACAGTATATCACTCGGCCGTCGCTCCGGAGAGGCAGATCTTGCAGACGGAGCACCATCCCGACGGAGAAGAGGAGAATCGCTATGAGATCGGTAACGTTCCAGTCCTCCTGGAGCCAAACTTTTACTTTCTGTAACAGCTTCCCAGGCTCCGACATCAATATCTGAAGGACACAGCACATAGAGAGAAAAAGAGCTGAGTTGTCTTAATTTAAGCCTGAAGTAAATCTATAGTAGACAGATATATAGCACACAGGCCAAAAGCAAAGCTGACAGACTCCTATCATATAAATAGTTTATGTACTTTCCGATTTTCTTAAGAAATCTTTCATTTCAGCCATCTTCTGTATCTATGCGCAAGATTCTTAAAAAAAGAAAAAGTCTTTCGCGTACTCTGAAATCCTTGTGAAATTAGAAGAAATGCAGTAATTTCTTTTTGTTTTCCAAATTGTCTGACTCTGCTTGGAATTACGGAATGGAGGAATAAAGATGGAGGTATATTTAATCAGAGAATTCACATTTAAATAAGCTATAACGTGTTTTAAACTGTGTATCAAAGTGCCAAGAAACGTTTAACGACCATAAAGATCCTGATTTAGCATTTAGTCCAGAAAAGACCAGCTACTACTTGGACCTGCTTTTGGAAATTCATTTCCACAGCTGGGAAGACAGTTCATAAAAATAATTAATCTTACCTTAGGCATTTATCATCATTCTATTGGCAAAATCATTTGGAAGAGCTGATTGTTTTCTTGAATTACTGTTGAAACTATTCCTCAAGTGATTTCTATGAATAATTCCTAGCTTTTAGCTAGTTAACAAGCTATTTGTTTTTAGTTTTCTATATTTAGCTTGAGAGCGTTTGAGCAGACTCATACAATTCCTTAGAAAGACGAGTGCAATTCTTAACAATTTTCTTATAATTCATTCTCAAAATGAATTTTAGGCTCATCTTCTATGAACAATCTCTAACATCCGCTTAGAAATCCATCCCCACAAATGTTCTTGATAAACTTTTGTGGAAAGCACAATTTGGGGTGAGTGGTTAGATAAAAACGGCCCGCGTGATTTCTGCCAGCAGTCTCCCGCGTACGGAGCCATTGGCGCTTTGTCTCCGTCAGTGCTGCAGAGCCCTCGTGTGGCTCCCGTCTCTCTTTC